GTGGCAAAGCTGGGCACCCTGCAGGGCCTCTGCAGCATAGAGCGACTGCTCCTGCTTCACCTCTGCCCGCCGGAGCACAGATTTCTCCTGTGGTCGACCCTCACCCTGCCCCACGGTGAGGGGAATTCTGAGAAATGTGCCCACTCAGCTGAGTCAACCCAGCATGAAGCCACCAGCTGGCCTCCGGGAAGAAGTGACATCTGAGTCGGGGCTGTTGAAGAGGGAGAGTGAGGACAGAGCGGGCAGGTGGGGTCAGGACAGCACCCCAAATTTCAATCTCTTGGATGCTGTGCTCAAGATAGATTTTAATTCCAGGAACAGGCCATTGGATTGCATAGCCTGAGCCATCTGCTGTGATGAATGGGAATACAGTCCCCAAATCCTTACTTCTTCGTAGCAGGACCACACTCTCACCCCCGCGTGACTCTGCAGTGCCACCCCCACTGCAGTGGGAGGCATTAACCCCCTGGCCCCATGGATGATGGCCTTGGCCCTGTGACTTGTTCTGGTTGGGGTGTGAGCAGACAGGATACAAGGCTTAAAGCATCAGCTTTTGATGTGCCTGTGTGGTTTGGCTTGGCCCTGTGAGTTTTGCAAGGAGAATGCCCCAGGTGGCTCATCTCTTGCAGCCTGGGTCCCAGAGAGGGACCCTTGGAACACACCTGAGCCTGACCCATAGTCTAGAGCAGAGCCCCTCCAGTCAACCTGAAGCCCCATGAGCGAGAAAAAAATATTTGGTCTTGTAAGTCACAGAGATTCTGGGGGCTGTTTGTGACGTAGCATTATCACAGTGGGAGCTAAAACACCTGCCCATTCCTTGGCTAGGGGAGAAAGGGGCATCTCAATGAGCTGTCTCCCTCAGTCTGCATCCAAGGAAGTAAGCTAAGTCTCCAAAACACACTGAGGCACTGTGGAAGGAGATGAAATGGATAGCAGGAAAGTGGAAAGCAATGAATGTCTCTTGTGGAACAAACAGCTGGCTCATAGATGTAGCACCAGGGGCTGGCCTGTTAGCCAGACTTGCTTTCTGGCTGTCACCCTACAAGCAAAAAGTATGTTAGATCCCCAAAGGAGCAGCTGGCTCTGCTGATTTATTGGGCCTGAATCAGATCTGTGAGAGCAAATTGAATTTTGAATACAATTTCATGTCAATTAACTTTGCTCTGAGCCTTGCAAAGAGCAGTGACTTGCTATAAAGTAAAGCCAAGCAGCAAAGACCCATGGGGCCAACGGGCCCTCCTGGAAGCAATGCCTCAGAGCTCTGCTGAGGGCACTCTGCTGTGGGCGGTGACTGGGTGAGGGCCTGGTTCCATGAGAGGTGCCCGTTCTCAGGGACGTTGGTGGCCACACATGAACAAGAGCTGGCACTCATCTACAAGCCCTACAAGGCGCCCAGTGCTGTTGGGGCAAGTAAACCCATGGTTTCCAAAGTGTGGCCCCCAGACCCGCAGCTCGTTTGTTGAAATGCAAATTCCCAAGCCCCTCATGAGACAGGATGAATCAGGATGGATCGGAAATTCTGAGGCCCAGCGACTACAACACAGAACTGACCATGTGACCGACCTTCAGGGCTTGAGAGCCCACTGAACCTTCAGCCCACCCACTGCAGGAGCTCTGTGGTCACCCCTGTGTCAGAGAGAGGGCCGTGGAGGCAGAGGTCACTCGCCCACAGTCTTGTGAGGAGCTGGGCTTGGAGGCCAGGCAGTCTCCCTCTGGAACTGCCCTGCCCTGCACGGTGGCCATCAGCCACACGGAGCCATTTCATTTTAAGATTAAAGTTACGAAATGAAACATACAATTTTGTTCTTCAGTTACATGAGCCACATTTCAAGGGCTCAAGAGCCTTATGCCGCTGGTGGCCACTGGACTGGACAACGCTGATCTAGAACACTCCCCTCACCAGCACTGGCCCAGAAGCTGTCCCTGAGCCACTGTTGGCGTGCGTGCCTGGAAGCCCCGGAGGCCCCTCTGGGAGGCAGAGCACAAACATCAAAACAAGAAGCACAGCAGCTCTGCACCCCCAAGCCAGAAGTCAGGGGCGCGGGTGATGCGGTACACATGGGCTCACGGCTCCTGCAGGCCCTGGGAGAGCTCAGAGCCCTGGGTGGGGGATTCAGTTGTTCTGTCACAATGCGCACAGTCAGGAAAAATGAGCGCGGCCCACGATCAAGCAGCAAGCAGGTTTCTGCCTCGGGCCACCCACCCCATCTCCTGGGGTAGCTTTGCTGTGCCGGGAATCCAGAGGTGGTGCTGGCCAGACCACCTGGAAGTGAATCAAAGGAAAGAAAACACCTGGGGGCTTCTCCCTGGGGGAGAGCTAAGGAAGCAGAAAAACCCAGAGGGGGCCCCACAGAGACCCCGTTTTTCACCCAGAACCCACGTCTAAGCGTCCTCCAGACCAGATGGGAAAGGACAGAGGAGTTTCTGTGTTTGAAAACGTCAACACCAGAACTCGACCTTCCCAAGCAGGGTTCCAGGAAGGTAGGAGGGGCGACAGGAAAGGGTCCTTAGGAAGCTCCTCCCACCCCCCCAGGTCAACAGACTGCTGGGCCACTGGCTGGGGGTGGGGCGGGTCTCCAGAGCAGGTGTGGAGCCTGGAGGCTGCTCCTGGAGTGGGCTGGCGGGCCCAAGGGCCTGCATCCAGTGAAATCCTGAAATATTATCCCCAGGACCCCCCCACATCCGCATTTCCTGGCTCTCTCTCCTCAGAGGGGAACCACGGCGGCAGGGATGCAGAGAAACCACTCTGCTTGCGTTTTCTGTCTTCCTAACGAGGCTTTTAAAAATCAAAAGTGGTGAGGCTGGAGGCAGGCAGAGTTTTCATAACAAAACCCAGAATGAGATGAGGGGGAGGGGCCCCTGCCGCACCCTGGGGAGGCCCAGAGAGGAGTGGGGGGCTGAGCAGAGAGAGCCTGGCAGATGGGCCCGCAGCTTTGGGGGCCTGAGTGCCCCACTCCATGTCCGCCTTCCCAACTGCCACTGGGGACAGCCCTGCCAAAAGCCTGTGACACCCAGATCACACCCCTCCATGCCCTGTACACACTGGGGCCCTGGGCCCTCCACGGCACAGAGCGATGGGACTCAAAGCCCCAGCCCCCGTATGGGAGATGGGCAGTGGAACCCCCCACTCAGCGTGGCCTGGGGCAGCACTTCCCTGTCAAGCAAGGAGTCACCATCCAGGACTCAGCTACTGCGCTCCCTTCTTCAGTCTCTACACTGCCCAGCAAGTCCTTCCCTGCCTCAGTGCCTCTACACATGCTGTGCTCTTTGCAAGGAACACAGTTCCCCTCTTTGCACAACTGACTCTTTCTTATCTCTATGTCTCAGCTCAATTCTCACTCCTACAGGCATTTTGGGACCACCCAATGCCCACTTAGTATGACACCACCCTTTTCGGTTTTCTTCATGTCATCATTTGATGTTATTTGGCTCTGTGTTCAGGGTCTCTCCCACTTCTAAGAGGGCCGTCTGTCTCATCAATTACTGCATCACAAACAGTGCCTGGATATAGGGCATTTGGTAAATATTTGTTGTATGAATTAATGACCTTAGGATTTGAGGAAAACCGATGGCCCTCCCCACCCGCAGTCCCTCCGTACCTCACAGACTCCCACTGGTGAAAGAGGAAGTTCACAGTAACATCTAGCTTTCAACTCTCCAGCTGCTCCTTCCCATTGGTCCCTGCCCTGTTGCAGCCCTGGGTGGGGAGCAGCCCCTGCATGCCAAACTGCTGTCTCTATGCAAACCAGGCACCCCCGGGGCCTCCCACCCCACCCACTCCCCACAGGGGGCATTCTGGGGTCCAGGGCTCTGGTCTTGGGAGAGCTGCCTTACTGTAAAACCTGGGAACCTGCCGGGGAGAGAGGAGGGGATGCACTGCCTGTGAGCCCCCCTCCCCACTTGGATCTGGAGGTCCCGCGGCTGCCTGGGCAGGCGCAGCAGAGAGCACCAGGAGCCATGGACCAGCCCGCAGGGAGACCGGCGGGGAGAGGGGCAGGGGACACGTGGAGACAGCCTGGACTGCGGCGTGGGGGCAGTGGAGGACCGAGAAATCCTCATCTGGCCTTCAAACGCCCCTCCACTGGCAGGGAGGTCCTCCCCTTCCCACACACAGTGCGCAAGACTTCTAGAGTCTGGGGGAACGAGCCCAGTAAGACCCCACCCCCTGCCCCAGTATCAGGAGTGGGGGCGAGGGCACCCCATCCATGGGTCCCCATCAAGAGTGCGGACAAGGACGCCCATCCATGGGTCCTCATCAGAAGTGGGGACGAGGACGCCCATCCTTCACACCCCACCCCGGCCCCATCTCGGGAGTGACGGTGAGCTTGCCCTCTGCACTCATGTGTCTGGTTTGGCTGGAGAGGCCCCTACTTTTCTGCTCACGTGCTCTCGTTTAAAGATGCTTCAGGAGGGAGGCTGCGGGTGGGGAAGCGCAGAGGCCCCGACCGCACACCCGCGAGAGAGGATGACGCTCCGGCCCCCACCCCTCCTTAGTGGAGCGGCGCTTGCCCGGGAGCGCGCAGAGGGGCGGGAAGGGGCGGGAAGGGGCGCGGCCTCCCAGGTCCCTCCTCCGAGGGGCGGGGCTGGCGGGAGGGGCGGGGCCCGGCTGGGCGCGCGGGGCGGGGCCTCTGGGGGCGGGGCGGGGCGGGCCGGGCTCCGCCGAGCGCCCACTTCCTCTGGAGCTGGCGTCCGGGCGGAAGTACGTCAGTTGTTATCCGCTCGGGGCGCCGCCGCCGCCGTCGCCGCCTCAGCAGCCCCGGCGCCGCAGCCCCGGCCCTCGCCCGCCGCGCCGCGACCGGGCCCGCCGCCGCCGCCCGCCGCGCATGGGGCGCGCCCCCGGGACGGCGGCCCGGGGCCGCTGAGCTCCGGCCGCCCGCCGATGCGCGCGGCCGCCCGCGCCGGGGCGCCCAGGCCTCGCCGGGCCCGGGGCTGAGGGGCCCCCGCGGCATGCCCGGCCCGGCCCGCCGCCCGCCGCCGCCTAGGGCCCCCGCCCGCACCGAGCCCGGCGGCGCCGCGTAGCGCAGCGGCCGCGGAGGCCGCCCGACGGCGCGGCCGCAAGGTCACCGCGCGCCATGGAGGCCAAGGTCCGCCAGAGCCGGCGCTCGCGCGCGCAGAGGGACCGCGGCCGGCGCCGGGAGGCCGCCCGCGACGCCCGCGACCAGAGCGCGTCGTCGGGCGACGAGCCCGAGCCCGGACCAGGCAAGGAGAACGCGTGCCTGCCCCGCGCGCCCCCGCCCCGCGCCCCCGCCGCGCGCCCCCCGCGCCGCCGCCGCCGCGAGTCCAGCTCGCAGGAGGAGGAGGTCATCGACGGCTTCGCCATCGCCAGCTTCAGCACGCTGGAGGCCTTGGAGGTAGGTGGGCGGCGGCGGGCCGGAGACGCCGCCCCGAGGGCCAGACCGCGCGCCCGCGCCTGGCCGGCCGCTCCCGGGGGACCCGGGCGACCCGGCGGCGCGGGGGCAGGGGGTGTTCGCGTCCGAGCTGCCGGGGAGAAGAATCCCTCCGTGACGCTGCCCAAGCCGGGGGTGTCTGGCTGCACAATCGGGCTTTTCTCAATTGTGTTTCTGTTGCCAAAGTATCACTTTTTCGGTTCAGGCTGTGCTAGGGAGATGAGCACTGCTGGAGTTGGTGGAGGGGTGATAAAATGGATACTTTGAGTTCTTCCTGTTCCTCCCTTCCCGTTGAGGTTTCTGTTTAGACGGGGAGACCCCTCTCGGTGACCCGCTACTTGCTGCGTGGTTAATAGGATGGCAAAAAATATTGCTTGTCTGGCTGCGTTATCATGGACAGTATTTGCTGAGCAAATACTGCCGTTTTTGCCTGAACCCAGTTGAGTGCGGAGGGAAATGAATACTGTCAGAGAGTTGGCAAGTGGGGTGAGTGGGGAGCCGCCTTCTCCTACAACTGGCCTGGAGAGAAATGCTGGCCAGGCCCTGGTGTCCTGCGAGCCTCAGCCAGCCAGCCCTGCCACTCTGCAGGGGCCCCATGCAGCACTTCTTTTGGGGAACTAGTATCTGTTGGGCTTGGAGTCCCAGAGACCACTCAGTGAATAGTCTCCCTCCCTTTCTCTTGGGCTTGGGGGCCAGTGGCCTGGGATCCCCCACTTTCAGAGGCTGAGGTCCCTGCAGTGAGCCCTTACCCTGGGGTCCTCTGGGTCTGGAGAGCCTCAGGGACAGGTTTGCCACTTTCTTTCTGGGTAGGTGGATGCACGGAGGTGGGACGCCTGTGTTAGAGCTTGTGCTTAACCACACAGTCCCCGGGGTCTCCTGTCATGCACACCTGGGGGTCCTGAGATGGCTCCTGGGCCAAAGGGTTCCCAACTAAGACACTTTGGAGGGGTGTGGTGGCACATGTCATGGCTCTGTACTGGGAAGGGGTGGCCCCAGGCCAAGTTTTCTGCCTTTGTGCAAGCCAGGTCCTGCCCTGCACCTTCTGAGAGTGGTGACACCACCCACCTTCCAGATGTGTAACCGCCCTGCCAGGTGGGGGGAAAACAAAACCTGAACTGTGGCCTCCAACGCCCTGCACCCTGCCAGCCAGCCTCTTCCACCCGACTTCCTCCCGCACTGGCATATCAGCCCCTTTTGAGTTCTGCTGCCTCAGGGCCTCCGTACCTGCCGTTCCCTCTGCCTGAGCCCCACTGTTCTCTCTGCCTGGGCCCTTGTTTGGCGCCTTCGTGTCTCAGTGCAAATGTCCTTCAGACCGGCCCTCCTCAGCCACTGTCTGAGGCTGCTCCCTCCCCCCCATGTTATTTCACATACTTTCCTTCCTGTCAGTTACCTCTCTCTCTGAAGCTGTCTTGTGATTTACTTGGTCTCTGTTGTTTTGGCGCTCTCCCCACCAGAACTTGGAAGCTGGAAGAGAGCAGGCATCATGTCTATTTTGTGTGTCCCCTGTGGGGTCCCAGTGTCCTGTACACATTTGTGTTGGGAGCGAGTGAATGAGTGAGAGGAGAAACCGAAGTTCAGGAAGGCTGCAGCTAAGGTCACTCAGCATGCCCTGGTGAAATAGGCCTGTTGGGTCCACGTGCTGCCTGCAGTAGCTCTGGCTGTACCCCTCCTGCATCGGGGGCACTGGAAGTGCAGCCTTAGGTTTGGGGGCTTCTGCAGACTCAGACCAGCACTGGCCGGGTCATAGTGAGACTGAGCCTACTTTCTGCTTGGCATTCACACAGCCACGTCACCTGGGGCTGCTCCATGCACCTTTCTCTGACCTTAGCTGGTGGGGGTCTGCATGCCTTGGAAAGTACAGGGTTTCTGGACAAGTCATAACTTCTAGATCAGCACTCTTGTTTGGCCTCATTTCTTGCTAAAGCTTAGTGGTTTTCCCCCAGATTTCGGATAAATCAGAATGATGTGGATAGTGACAGCGTGCAGTGAACGTGTACTCTATCAGGCACTGTTCTCAGCCTGCTTGTCTCCGCTACACAGAGGGGGACACTGAGGCCCAGCACCGTGAGTGTCAAGGCCCCAGTCTGCCTGGTCTCAGCTCTGCCAGGCCCTCACGAGTCTGTCTTGGCTTGCATGTGAGACATGAGCTGCCATCCCCAGAGCGTAAACAAACAAACGTCACGTGTAGACCTGTGCAGGAGGTGGGACCTGCACAGAGAACATTGTCAGTGTGCCGAGAGTCCTCCTCCTTACTTTTGTCCTGAAGATGCAGGCCCCCCACACCCGAGGCAGGTACCCCTTCATCCCCCCGCACCTCCGTCTGCCCCGAGGGAGACCAAGTCCCTGCCTCTGGGGCAGCTGAGAGGATCACAGGCCACTTCTGTTAAGTGCTGCAGACGCAGCAGGAACTCCATAATGTGGCAGTGGTGTTGTCAGCTGAGGAGCGGCCCGCCGCGTCTGGCCTGGCCCAGGGTACATCCGCAGCCCCGGCACGGAGTGATCTCCACCAGAGTCCTGGGTTGGATGGCCAGAACCTGGTCTCCCAGTTGGGGGTGTACAGAGGCCATGGCTAGTCAGGGGTCACACACCTGAGCCCTGGTCCCCTGTTAACTTTTTGATACTCCATTTAACAGGGTAGGGGCATGAGCAGGTTGCAGTGGGACAGGGGTCTTGTGGGGACAGGGGCTCTCTTTCCTCTGCTCTCACTCACAGGAGCCAGATGGATTTGGGACCGCTGGACAGATGGCTCTTGCTGTCCATCTGGTTCCTGTTACATCTCTGTCTTCTAGGGTGTTGACCAGAGGTGACAGGAAGCCCTTTGGAGGACGGGCGGGGCAGCACTGTGGTTCTCTACCCAGGTCCTCCCGATCCTTCCTCCCCGATGGCAAAGGCAGCCTTCAGGCCTTGGGTCTCCTGGGAGATTCACCTTGTAGGCAGAGCCAGGGCGGGCCCAGCAAACCTACTGTGTGCCTCCGAGTGCTTTCCATCAGGGATGCCTGCGCTCTGTGCACCGGCCCTTCCCCTGTGTGCTCTGTGCTGGAGACGCGTATGATGCTAGCACCTGGCGGAAACCACCCATCTGGGTTGGCGTCCATATGATTCCTTGTTAATTTGCCTTTCAAACAGCAAAACTCTTTCCCCTGGCTCAAAAATCAAGCTTTATGAAAAGCTATATCCTGAAAAAAGTTTCAGCTCCAACCTCAGCCTCCTCCAGTCACTACTCTCGCCGCTCCTGGCCTTTCTGAGCTCATTGTGCAAACGTAACCACAGGCGTGTGGTCTGTGCACACAGGTCTGTGTCCTTGCTCTTTGGTAGAAGGATAGGGTCACTCACCACATCTGTACACGTGTCCGGGAGGGTATACCCGGGAGTAAAGATGGAAGGGAAAACACCCAAAATTCTAGCTGAGTGGACAGGTGGCTTCCTTTCTCTAATCCTCCTGTTTTCTACACTGATCAGCACCTGTTACTTTGATAATCCACAGAATGTACACCTAAAACCAGACTCAACCTGCTACATGGAGTTGTCCTTGAGAAACCCCACCCCTGCCTCCCCAGGACCACATCAGCAGGTGAATGGCTGTGCGTGGAGGGGTGGGCCTGGCCTGGCCTGGCCTGGCTGCGCCGCCCAGCCCCCAGCCTTCGGGGCTGTCCAGGGGCGTGCTGTGCATTTCTGCTAGAAATGACCGAGTTCTTCCCAGACGCAGGTGGGACCCTCGGGCTGAGGATGTGAGCCTCAAGGCAGCTGGTGGAGGTGGCCTTGGTCCCAATGGACGATGGCCCGCTGCAGGTCTGGACATAGTCCCTTTGGAGGTAGGGGTGCCAAGTCTCCCCCTGCCCTGGGCCACGTCTGGGAAGCTCAGGGCTGGTGGCGTCTCTGGGAGTGTGTTTGACGTCCCCCAGGGGTAGGGGGACGCAGTCTCTGCTGGCTCTGGGCACTTAGGTCTGTGCATTTGGGGAGTTAGGATGCATCCCTCCTGCCCCGTGTACAGAAGCACATGCTGCCAGTCTTTCCTTTGAGGGCTTTGATCTGGGGAGCCATGTGCCTGGCCCATCCCTCTGACAAGAAGTCAGGACTGAGACCACTCAGTCAGTTGGGCTCCATGAGGAGAGCCAGTGGTGGGAGAAGCCTTCACCTTGAAGAATGTCTGAGCCTTGGGGCCAGAGCACCACCTCCAGACTGCCTCCTACTCTCTAGATGGGGAAACTGAAGCGCAGAGAGGGGAGTGCTTTGCCTGCAGTCTTGGATGAGAGTGTGGCGCCAAGCCTGGAACCCTCCAAGGATGGCACTGCGTTGCTCCCCCATCCCCCCAAGGGCCCACAGCTGTCAGGGCTGGGGAGTTGGAGCAGCTCCCTCCAAGGGGGATCCCGCCAGTGGGTGAAAGCAAAGCGATTATGTGGCCCCCTTGTCTGCGTGGGTGTCCACCACTCTGGGGCAGCAGCAGTTTTGCTAATTGTGGGTTTGGAACCTGGGCTGGGGTCCCTGCAGTGTCACCATCTCCTGTTTTGTGAGTCAGTGCCCTGTTGTAGGGGAGACAAGCATGTTGGGAGCAGTGGTGACAACGATGGCCACCGAGGGCACTGTCCTGAGGGCTCTCTGTCCTCACACTCCCATTTTCTAGATGAGGAAACTAAGGCCAGGGTGTGAAGTCCTTGTCCAGGATCTGCCCACCGCAATGCCAGTCCACAGACACTGCAGATCTTTACCCAGACTTGGGCTGCATCTTCAAGATGCTCTTTGCGGAAAATCTGAGCTTGAGTGGAGGGAAGGGTGGTCCACAACGTCAGAAGGGACAGCCTTGGATAGCCTTTTCCTGGGCTGCAGGAGCAACAATAGGTGCCCTGTGCAGTTCTGGGTTGGCTACCTGACCTCTGGGAAAGGCTGCCCTCTCTGAGTGCCGTGGGCATTGATGTGGGTCTGCAGAGCCTGTGGCCATGTGCACAGGTTGGGAGGGGTCTGCTGCA